GTCTGGATAACTGTTTCAGGAATGATAGGGCATGAGTTGGTAATGGTGATGGTGGCATCAAGGAAGCTGCTTTCTCCCTAGGGTACCAACCTACCTACCTCTCCCCTTGATTTTCATGTCTCTGCCAACAGTAGCACCATCATTATAGCACCCCAGGCTCAAAGCGTCAGTGTCATCTTTTATCCCTCTGTCTCCTAAATCTTATATTTCCTATTAATCACCACATCCTGTCCATTCTATCTGCACAATAGCTTTCATATCCATTCCTGCCATCTCACTCTCTCTGCCACTCTTTTGTGTACTTGTTAACTTTCTTTTGAGGCAAGTTCTATCTCAACAGGGTTGAAAGAACAGCAGCCACTCAGTCTGATCCCATTATAAGCACAGGAAGCTTTACTCTTCCTTTTTTCTGATATGAGTTGGTTTGCTTCTCCATAAGCAACCTGGTGGGCCCCTCATCCTGTGAATTCCCTATATTGGTGTGGGTCTCAGTGTGGACACCCAAAGTGATCCACCAACTTCAGACTCACCAATAGCAGGGGATTACAGGCATGGACCTGGCTTACTGCTTAAATGCCCTCTCACCTGAGCCACTAGAAGGCCTCCTAACTGGTCTCCCTGCCTTTAGACTCTCCTCCAATCCATTATGCACAGACCACCAGTCATTTTCCTAAAGCCCGGCTCTGATCATCTCCCTTCTAGCCTCAAAGTTCAAATTCAGCTGGCATTCGAGATCCTCTAGAATAGGATTCCAACCTAAAGATTTAGTTTCGTCTCGAACAACACTCTAGACAAGGTGATGACACACCAGTTTCTAAACACATCCTGGGAGTTCCCACTTCTGTGTCTTTGCTCATACCCATCTCTATGTCCGGAATGTACTGCACACACACTCCTCCCCTGCTCATCTCTGCCTGTTGATAAATATATCTGCCTATCCTCAAAACCTTCAATGAATCCCTAGTCAGAACTCACCATTCCTTCTTCAGACTATTTCTAGAACTTTTGTGCTCTTATGATCCCATGACTTGAAAACATCCTTATTTATCTCTTCTCACTTTCACTGTAAATCAATCCCTTCTATAACCCAATCACTACTTTAGTAATATTCTTTATGAACTGCTATACTAAAAAACCTTTGGTGGCTCCCCATTGCACACTGAATAAAGTTGAAACTCCTCATTTTGGCATTCAGGGACATGTAGCATCCAGCTCCAGCCTTCCCTGAAAATTCTCTCTTTCAAGTAGTCTACATTCCAGCCAAACTATACTACTCCTCTGTCCCTGATTTCCTCTGGCCCACTCCCATCTCAATGCCTGTGAATATGCTGTCCCTCTTCTCCTCCCACCTCTCCATCCCATTGTCACCTGTTGAAATAGCTCTCCTTTCCACATCTGCAAAATGAGGTTGTTGGACTAGATGAGCTCTAAGATCCCCTCCACCTCTAAATCCTATGAATAATACCTTTTCTCATCCCTCCATTCTGAGCTGAAGCACTAGAAGGTTTACCCCACTTTAGGGAGTAAACTCCACGACCCTTTCCATCAGCTACCTTTCTCCAACCCCTCCCCCGCAACAGCCTATTCCTGGATATGTCACGTTCACATTACCTCTTCCTTTTCTCCTGCTCTGCTGAACTCAACATCTTAGTGCCTCCTGTGGCGGGTCTTAGCCTCCTCACTCTACTGATTCTTGTGCTTAGTGCCTTCTCCTGATTCCCTCATTTCCTCCATGCTAGGGCTATCTCACCCCAAGGTGACTCCACTCTTCTTTTTCCATTTTCTCTACCTTCTCAGTTCTCGGATCTGCAATTCCCCTCCACTTTTGGGGGGAGGGGTGGGGCTGAGGCTAGGGGAAGATTTCAAAAGACAAAAGGAAAGATGTTGTGGGCAATGAGAGTCTTTATTGGCATATAGATACATGCATTTTCCTTAACTTCTCCACTTCTGCAATGATTAAAGATCACAATTGCTTTGCAAAAAAAAAAGCTCTCCTTCTTTTAAGGTCCAACGCAAACACTACCTACTCCATGAAGCTTTCCCTGAAACCCATCTCCCCCATGTAAAAGAGAACACTTCCTCCTTGAATTTCTTATAATACTTTGCCTGGTGGCTCTTTGCTTCTATGAAACTCAAACTTGAATCCATATCTATTTCTGTCTATCCCCTTCATAGATGATAAACTGCCTGAGGGCCAACATGCTGTTATCTGTGATCTTTGTCTCTCTAGTGCCTGCCAAAATGCCCTGCGTACATCACAAAATCAGAGCTGGAGGAGGCCTTGAAGGCCATCCTGTCCAAGTTTGCATCTGAAGAAGAATCCACTTCACAACCCACCCAGTGAGTAGTCACTTGCAGGCTTTCCCTGAAATTCAGAAGTGAGGGAAATGAATCCCATTACCTTCCAAGGCAGTCAATTCAGTTTTGCATGGCTCTTCACTGTTAAGAAATTTGTCTTTACATCAAGGCTAAACCTGTCTTTGCATCTTCTCCCCTTTGCTCCTAGATCATGAGTCACATCTTCTGGTCATCCTCTGGACAGTTAACCAGTTCTGAATCCACCTCTTTCCTCCCATCCAGGTCTTCATCCTAGTCTTGCCCACTGACGCGGACATCCCCCAAGGCTCGGTCTTGAATCCTCTTCTCTTCTCCATCTATGCTGTCACCTGGTGATCTCATCAGCTCTGCCAATGACTCTGAGATCTACTTACCAAGCAAGCCCTAAACCTCTCCTAACCTCCAGAACTGAACACGATACTCCAGATATGATCTGACCAGTGGAACTGTCCCCATCTGAATGGCAGGTTGACTGGTTGTTGTCCTTTGTTCTTGAAGAGGACCAAAATGACATCACTATGTTAGAGTCAAGTTACAATGTGTCTGATCAGACCAATACAAGCTTGGGGTGCTCTACCACAGGTCAGGCACAAATAGTTCATGTGAACGTTTGGGGTGGATTCTCTAAATTTGCGCATTTCGAGTTTCTTTTGAGCTGCTTCAATTCTGCTTTGCTCATAGAGCACAGTATCTTCTCTGATGAGGGCACCCCATGCTGGGCAATCCTGTGCCAGTGTCTCCCGTGCCATATAATCAATTCCAAAGTTCCTAAGAGAGACCTTGAGAGTGTCCTGATGCAGCCTAGCTTTCTCAGCTGTCATCATACTTGACATCTTAGACTCAGCAGCAGTGATACCATCAGAGGAAAATTTGCTATAAACCTCCATTTGCTGCCCTCCATCCCCCACCAAAAATAAGAGAAACTTAAGTTGGTGATAACAGAAGCTGAACTTTCCAAGGCTTTAGGCAAAACCAGGGAACACTTTTTCCATCTGACCAGAACCCCCAAACCCTCTCTCTAGGTGGGCAACCCGTGTCAATCCAGGTGTATGGTTTGCTCTCCCTTTGGAATAGATCAATCAATGTTGACAACCGGTGAAATGTCAGAAAGTACCCTTATGCCCTCAATCATCCGGAGAACACAATAAAGTGAGTGTCTTTCTACCTCCCCAAGAGGCCCTCATCCCTCTTCCAGCTCCAAAAACCCAAGTCTGAGATTTTCATCAATAAATATATGTGGTTTATCTGCACGCAGGGTCTGAGAGAGGTCCAAAGGGCTTTGAGAACTCTCTGAAAATGTGGACTTTGCAAAACCTGCTTTAGATCAATCTCTCAGGGAAAGGGCATTCAGAGGACCTAGATTCAGATCCTATTTCTGACACTATAGGTGTGATCTAGGCAGATCACAACTTCCATGGGCCTCGGTAGAACCTGACATCCTCTAAGGTCCCTTATAGTTCTAGACTTAGGATCCTACCCCCTTACCTCAGGCCTAAATCAGCCCTCCTGCAACTTCCACCCACTGTGCCTGTCTTCTAGTGTCAAGTATATGTCTAATTCTTCTTTCAGGATGGCCCTTCATATCCTAGAAGGCAGCCACTATGCCACCCACCCCTACCCTCTAAATCTTCTAAGTCAGTCAGTCAACAAACATTTAAGTACCTATTATGTTCAAAGCACTATGCTACGTGATACAAAGGCAAAAGATAATTGGGGAGACAACGTGCAAATAACTATGTACAAACAAGGCATATACAGGATAAATACAAATTAATCAACAGAGAAAAAGCGCTAGAACTAAGAAGGAAAGGCTTCCTGTAGAAGGTAGGATTTTAGGTAGGACTTGAAGAAAATCAGGAAAGCCAGAAAGTAGAAATGAGGGAGAGCATTCCAGGTTTGGGGATAGCCAGTGAAAATATCCAGTCAGGAGATGGACAATCTTTCTCAAAGAACAGCAAGGAAATCTACTGTCACTTGATCCAAGAGTATGTAGGGGTGGGGAAGGTCTAAGGCAGGACACACATAGCCCTATAGGTCCTCAAGTGCGGCCCTTTGAATCCAAACTTTACAGAACAAATCCCCTTAATAAAAGGATTTGTTCCCTAAAACTTGGACTCAGTCAAAAGGTCTCACCCAAGGACCTAGAAGGCCACAGGTTCCCCATCCCTGGTCTAAAGTATAAGAGGACTGGAAAGGTAAGGGTGGGTGGGGAGAGAATAGCTTGTGAATGACTTTGAACACTAAACAACCAGGCTAAACAGCCCCAGTTCTTTCAATCTTCATAGAACACTTCTCACCACTTTAATCTCCTTCTAGTTTATCCACATCTTCCTCAAAATATGGTTAGCAGAACTGAACACAGTGGGACTATCTCATACCTCCTTTCTGGTCACTACCTGTCTTTTATGCTGCCCAAGACTGGATTTTTGGCTTCCATATCACACAGTTAAGATATCTTGAACTTGCTGTCCAATAAAACCCCAGATCTTTTTTAATGAACTATTGTCTGGTCACACCTCCATTCTTTATTTGTGTGGTTGATTTTTTTGGAATTCAAGTACAGGACCTCACATTTATTCCACTAAATTACATTTTCATACATATGCTTATAACTCCCCCCACAGACTGCACACCTGGGAAAAGATCACACTCCAACACCTCTGCAGGGTTTAATTTAATAGTTTTAATAGTTCTGCACTTAGTAAACTCTGACATCACAGAAAGAACTTCAGTCTTCTAAACCCAAAGATCTTGCTGAGAAAGTCCCATGACATCAATATACCCAGAAAGGGAAGCCATTGTCCTGGCTTGGTATGCAGGAGCTCAAGCTTTGTCTTGATGGTGTTCCTGTCCATCCCATCTTGCTAATGCAGTCCCTAGGTAATGCTCATTCTGGTGCCTGGACAGAGCCTACTCAATGCCTCAGTGGGTCAAGGACTTTCGACCCTTCAGCATGCGCCTCAGGATGACCTGGACTCCACCAGGGGTGCTGAGCCTCCGAATCCAACCATGTTTCCGCTTCCGTTTGATGTTACTGGGCTGGTATTCATTGCCTCGGGCCTTAGAACGGACCTGTTGATGGCACCAAGGAACCAAGGGCCTATGCTGTGCCGTGTGGAAGCTGCCACAAGGATCAGTAGAGGCTCGAGTGAGGACGGTGATAGTCCTGAGCTGGGGCAGCCATGGTAGGAACGATCTAGAGTGAAGGAAGGGGTTTTCTGTGAGCAAGCTCAAGGAGAGGAGGCAACATTGCAGTGTGGATGATGGCCAAGTTGGTGACCACCCAGAAACTGACCAGTGAAATGCCCATTCCTCTTATTATTTGGGACTGCAGCTGGGCTATGAACAGCACTGGGCACCAATGGAAGAGAGAAAGGGGTATGGGCTCCAGTAATAACTCATGAGTATGTAGCAGGGTGTTACAGTATAAATAAAGAATGCAGGCTTTGGAGGCAGAACATGTATCCTGCCTCTGAGAGCCTTGCCTCTGACTATAGACAAGTCTCTTGACTTCTGTGGGCCTATTTCCTCATTTATAAGTGAGACTAATTATTCTTATAATACCTAGGTCCCAAGGTTGTCATCCTATTATAGAAACATTGGAACCATTATTGGCAGCACTTTGTCATTTACAAATTACCTTCTTACTTGATCCTCAAAACAATTCTATGGGGAAGGGAGAGCAGGTATCATTAACTCCATTTTACAGAGAAGGAAACAAGGCAGTTTCCTCTACAGAGAAGTGACTTACCTAGTGTCAGCCTCAAATTAACGGGAGAAAGGGGACTGTGTCTTTTGACGCTAGATAGATATTCTCTCCCCTAGCAGCACAGAGACAATCAACCACTGCCTCCCCCATAACAATTATTCACTCAACTAGACTATAAGCTCCTCAAGAGAGGGACTGTCATTTAAAACAAAATATATCCCTAGTATTGAGCACAGGGCTTGCATGAAGTAGGCACTTAATAAATCTCAGGCTCTCCCCAATCACTCACCCCTCCTCCCTCTTTTTACTTACTCTATCTCCTCCTGACATGCCCACCCTACTGGAATCCCGTCATTAGAGACAGAAGCAACCACCTCAAAGTCACACTGTAAGTGATCAGAATTGTGACACAGGGTCCTTCCCTCTAGAATGGCTTCACTACCCCTCCTTTCCAGCTGGGACATTCTGAATTTTAAAATACCCTTTCCCTCTCCCTTCCAGCTCCAACACTGCAAGATCTAAGATGCCCTCCTGGCTCTTTTCTAGCACTGACATTCCACATTGTCCCTCTTTCTAGTTCAAGCACTGTACGTTGCACACTGGACCTGGAGTCAGAAAGACCTGTGTTCAAACTCTGCCTCAGACATTAACTAGATACATAATCATAACACTGTGTCTCAGTTTTCTTCTCTGAAAATGATGGGGCTGGCCTCTAAGGTCCTTTTCAGATTTAGTGTCCTACATTTCCCTCTCTCCACTATAATGCTCCACACTCTAACACTCCCCCCAAACCCCAACTCTAAAGTTCCAAGTTCTAAGGCTCCCCTCCCCCCTCAGTTCCAACGTTCCAAGGTCGAAGGCTTCCTCTCCTTTCCAATTCCAAAGTTCCATGTTCTAAGGTTCCCTACCTCTCCCCCCTCAAACCTAACGTTCCATGTTCTAAGACTGGACTCTTCAGCTCTAATATTCCAGGTTCTAAGACTCCCTTCCCTTTCCCAGTTTTAAAGTTCCACGTTCTAAGGCTTCCTCCCCCTGCCTGGCTCCAACGTTCCAAGGTCTAAGGCTCCCTCTCCTTCCCATTCCAAAATTCCATGTTCTAAGGCTGCCTTCCCCTCCCCCCTCAAACCTAACGTTCCATGTTCTAAGGCCGGCCTCCTCAGCTCTAATATTCCACGTTCTAAGGCTGCCTTCCCTCCTCTCAACTCTAACGTTCCACGTTCTAAGGCTGCCCTTCCCTCTTCGCCTCCGGATGCTTCTCTCGCTAGCCCTCACCTGGCAGCAGCGTCAGGGGTGACGGGGAGCCCACCCCGGGACCCCGTGAGGCCCCTCCACTGGCAGAGCGCGCGCAGCACGAAACCCATGCTCCCCACCGTCCGCCTCGGCATAGACCTCACTAAGCTTTGAGCAACACCATCGCCCATTGGCTTCCACCAGCCAATCACCGCCCTCCGTAGGAGCAGGCGCGTAAGACAAGGGGCAGACGCGTTCACCTTGCTCTCGTCCTCTCAGGGGAAAAAAAGCAGCGCCCTGCCGCAAGGACTCATGGGAGGTGTAGTCCCAGTGGACTGCAGGTGCACAAACAGCTCACCTGGAGCTAGTTAGCGCTTGTGCTGCGGGGCAGGGCCTTAGCACTGTGCCTAGCGCATAGTAGTTGCTTAATAAATGTTGATTGATTGATGGGGATTGATTGATGAAGACCCTCTTGCAGAAAAGATCTAAGACCAACTTCTGTTTGCAATAGGGCTTGGAAAGAATTTAGTTGCTAATTTAAAGCATCTGAGCAAAGTAGTGTCCCATCAGATAGATAAAAATATTTATTAACCATGAATTATGCTCCAGGCACTGTGCTGAGCACTGGGAATATAAGAACAAGCAAAAAGGAAGACAGCTACTGCCCTCAATGAGCTTATATTCTAATGTGGCATGACAATACATATATTTTTTTAAAAAAAGAGTCTGTGTGAGAAAGGGGAGGAGAGTCAGACAGACAGAAAGCTTAGGAGTTTGCCCTCTAAGGGGCAAGGTGGAGACAAAATCCAATCAGTCAATAAAAATTTATTAAGTGCTAGAAACTGTGCCTTTAAGCATTTGGTATACAAAGAAAGACTATGGCAAGGCAGAAGCCCTCTATGAATAAATAAAGCCTTGTTCAGGAATCCCCTTGTGACAAAACCCACGAAGAGTTTCCAACAAGAACTGTACGTGGAGGATGGGGGATGGGCTGCAGCTAGGTGATGCAGTGGATAGAGCACCGGCCCTGGAGTCAGGAGGACCTGAGTTCAAATGTGACCTCAGACACATGATACTCTTACTAGCTGTGTGACCCTGGGCAAGTCACTTAACCCCAATTGCCTCGCCAAAAAAGAGAGAGAGAGAGAGACAGAGAATTATACAGGGAGCTCACCGTCTCACCCCCAGCAGTTATGAAGGGCAAACTCCTTAACTCCTAAAAGTATGCTGTGTTTATGGATCTGCTCTGCACAAAATACAGGTTGGTCTTTATTCTAGAGGAGGTGAAGAGACTGCAGGACTGCCTGCCTCTTTAATCTCTGTTTGTGGGGGAAATAGTGTTCCTTGGGGGGGGGGGGATGCATAATGGGAGCATAAGAACTGATTGGTATCCATTTCCATCTCAACCCTGTCAGTGGTTTGAGACTATCCCGAGCTGTGCCAAAAGGCAGAGTAGAGTCATGCCTAGGAGTCCTTAAAGGGACATTTATAGTCTCTGAGTGATGGATTGAGAGGAAGAAATGGGCACTGCAAGAACTAAGGAGCAATTGCAGTAGTAGCAAAGGAGACATCATTACCAACCCTGCCTAGGTTTTTATGAGTTGAACCAGAAAGGATCAGCAGGAAAGTCAATTGGCAGAAAGGAGATATTGAAGAGAGGGCTGAGCTGTGGCGAAGAAGAGTGAGAGATCAAGGAGGACCACTGGTCCCCTTCAGGCATCTCAGAACAGAAAACTAGATGGTTACCAGCTGTGCTCACCCCATCAAGAACCAAAGTTCCCCCCAACTTCCCCTCTCTATGACTGTCCAGTAACAAATGCCATTCTATGCTCTATTATCCTGATTTTTTGTCTTCAACATTTAGAAGCTGGGAGATAGCCAGATTTAAATTTAAAAATTTAAAATTTTTAAATTTAAATCAGTGCAGAAACCCAAACCTTAGTCCAGGCTGTTAGGAGTTTTCCTAATTGGGGGTCCTGAGCTATTGTGACTGAATTAATAACTTTTTAATCTGATAGTTATACTTAAAATAGAGAAAAGAATCATGTGAACCTGACAGCTACTGCTCCAGGCTAAAAGGTGAGACTGTTGCAACAGATGGTGACAGATTAAATCTCCCAGAGAAAAGAAGACAGGAAGGAGAGGGTGGCAACCAGAAAAAAGTCTACACCCTACAGCCTCTGAAAGAGAAGATTAGAAAGACCTGAAAAAAATCCAGCCAGGAAGAAGGAACAGAAAGGATCAACTGCCAGCTGGTCATACAATACCCATTAGTTACCCATCAGTTTGAGTCAGCTAGGGGTCTCAGAGGGTAGAATGCTAGACCTGGAGTTGGGAAGTCATTATTGTTCAGTTGTTTCAGTCATGTTCAACTCTTTGTGACTCCATTTGGGGTTTTTTTGGCAGAGATACTGGAGTGGTTTGCCATATTCCTTTTTCAGCTCATTTTACAGATAAGGAAACTGAGGCAAATAGGGTTAAGGGACTTGCCCAGGGTCACACAGCCAATGTCTGAGGTCAGATTTGAACTCAGGTCTTCCTTACTCCAGGCCTGGCATTCTATCCACTGTACCACTTTGCTGCTCAGGAAGTCAGAAGAATGGGAGTATAACAAGCCAGAAAGGGAAAGGAAAGGGGACCTGATCCCTTTTTTTAGGGGGAAGGCGCCCCCCAGATTGAACCCAGTCTACGTGAATCAACAGCAGAAGCCTCTTGTGAAAAAGAGCCAAGAGCCTCCTGGGCCATGGATCTCAAAAGTCATAGACTTGAGTTTCTTCCCATAGAAGATAGAGCTATAGCCACTAAGGAAAAAGCAGCTTCTTGTGGTCCAACGAATGTAGCTAAGGATCCACAGGAGGCATCAGACGAGAGCTCTCTCAGTAATGGCATAAAACATCAGCAAAGTATAGCTAAAACACTACAGTTCATTGTAGTAAAAGGTTGCTCTGTTCCTTGGAAGGCTTTTGGACACCTGAGCTGACTAAAGCCGACAGATGCCACCATTTCTTCCCTCCTCTTGCTTTTAGAGACTTTCAAATAAACCTTCACCAGAGGTGCCAGGAGACAGAAAGACAAATTATAAAGCTGAATTTTTCAATGACGAGAGGCTCAGTTCATAGAGACTCATGTAAGCAAAAGATATACTCTGCAAGTGCTAGAGAAGCAATTAATCAATCAATACATATTTTCTAAGTGCTTGTTATACTCCAGGTACTGTGCTAAGCACTGGAAATACAAAAAAGGGGGGCAAAAGTAATCCCTGTAAATAGCTTTGGGCTCCCTGTGTGCTGGACAAGTATGGAAACAGAGGTTTGAGTGGATCAAGAAAAACACGAAGAGAGTCTTGATGGGGAGGGCAGGCAGGCCTGTGGGGCCCAGGTTTAATATAGAAAAAAGTTGTAATAGACCAAAGGTGCTTAATGCTCAAGAGGTTCTAGTGCAATCCCTCCATGGTCGGGTGTGGCTATGTATTGCAGTGAATGAAAGATGAATTTGGAATCAGAGGATCTGGGTTCAAATCTTGTCTTTGACACTGACTACTTGTGTGACATTGGGCAAGTCACTCAACTTCTCTGCACCTAAGTGTCCTACGAATTCATTAGATCTGGCTGCATTTGAGGGAGAAGAACCAAAGAGTGGGGAGGAGACATATGGACAAAGGACAGCAGTGACAACTGCTAGGAACAAAGGACAGCAGCCATTGAGTTGTGATGCACCAAGAGGAGGAGAGTTGCAGACAAAAGAGCAACGAGACACAGAGCCCAGGCACAAAGGAACCTTATCTTATAATGGTGCCCCACTGAGTCACCAGGACTTTCCTGAAAGGAAAGGTGGCACATTGCGTAGGAGGTGTCTCTTGACTCTTGGTGGGCTTGGAAGTGAGTGCTTCCTGAATCTTTTATTGTGCAAATAAAACGGTTCTATGTTTTGAAGCTGTGTGAGCTTGTGTGCTTGTAAAGGGAAATGGTGGCTGCCTTTGAGGGATGAACAAATATTGAAGTTCCTAGATCCTGCCTTGATGGGAGTGATGGATCTAATAATGAAGAGAACCTCAACATGTACCTGAGCTCTTTGTAGCAGGAGGGACCCTTGGTGAAAAAAGCATAGGATTTATGGGTATTTAGCAAGAGTTTACATCGATGAGCAAGTATGATTTCATCAAGGCCATGTTATATCAGACTAGCTTCATTTTCTTCTTTGACAGGCCAGCTAAAATAGTACTGATCCAAAGAATGCTGTAGAAAAGTATACCTTAATTTCAGCAAAGCATTTGACAAAGCATGTCATACCATCTTTGTGGAAGAGATGTAGCACTATGGACTAAATTTGTAGTTGATGCAAACCTTGGAGGGATAGTTAATATATTGGATGGCAGAGTCAGAATCCAAACAGACCTCTATAGGTTAGATTATTGGACCAAGTCCAATAAGTTTGGATTTAATGAAAATAAATAAAAAAGGTATATTTTGTTGTTGTATAGTTTCAGTCATGTCTGACTCTCCATGACCCCATCTGGGGTTTTCTTGGTAAAGATACTGCAGTGGTTTGCCATTTCCTTCTCATTTTATAGATAAAGAAACTGAGGCAAACAGGGTTAAGTGATTTGCCTAGTGTCATACAACTAGTAAGTGTCTGAGACCAGATATGAACTCAGGTCCTTCGGACTCCAGGGTCAGCTCTCTATCCACTGCACTACCTAGATACTCTACCTCAGTTTAAAAAAAAAATGGTTTCAAGGGAAGGGAAGGCATAGCTATACAGCAGTTCAAATGAAAAAGTCCTTGAAGTTCTAGCGAATTGCAAGCCCTGAATCCATGTAAATAAGGGAAGCGAAGATCTTACTGCTCTCTGCCCTAGTCAGAAAGCACATGGAATATTGTTTTTGTTTTTAATTTTTTATTCATTTTAAACTTAAATACAAAATGAGAAAAGAAAAAAAGAACATTTCTATGTACACAGCAAAACATAAGAGGATTCAATGTAGAACAATAAATTTCCATTTCAAGAAAACCTATGTGATAAATATTACATATTATTTTCAAAGCTACTCAGCTTTTCTATGCTTCCTTCTTTTGCTCTCTGCTGCTCACTTTTTATTTTCTTTCTCCCTCCCTCCCTTCCTACCTTAGAGAAGGCTACAATTAAACACAAA